CTTCATCTTTTTGTTTGAGTTCCTTTTCCACATTTGTCGCACCTTTTACCGAGATCACTTCATCCACTATTGAGACCGAATTTTCCATGTCCAATGTATCCGAGCTCTTTGCCAGCAACAGTTCTTCTGCATCTTCAGTAACGAGATTTGTCTCCCCCTTTGTCTCGGTCTTGCAATACTTTGCAATATGGCCAGCCTTGCCACAATCGTAGCACTTGCTTGATCTTCACTCATTTGCATAGTGACCGTACTTGTCACACTTAAAACACTCAACTCTTGACCGATCTCCTCGGTCTTTCCTTTGTCCTCGGTCATGCCAATTCTGCTGACCGGTTTGCTCTTTGCCAGCAACAGTTCTTCTACATCTTCTTCTGCATCTTCAGTAACGAGATTCATCTCCCCCTTTGTCTCGGTCTTGCAATACTTTGCAATATGACCAGCCTTGCCACAATTGTAGCACTTGCTTAATCTGCACTCATTTGCATAGTGACCGTACTTGTCACACTTAAAACACTCACCTCTTGACCGATCTCCTCGGCCTTTCCTTTGTCCTCGGTCATGCCAATTCTGCTGACCAGTTTGCTCTTCATCATTCTCAAAATTACCTCGGCCATGTCCACCTCGTCCTCGGCTTCCTCGCCCTCTACCTCCAGGACCTCAGCTCTGAATAATCCGAGATTTATTCGAGTCAAACTACACCTGTAGTGCTTGGTTGTCGGGTTCAACCTAATCATCCCAACTCCTTCTCCTTTGTTCGTGGGCTTCTAATGACCCAGCACGTTCATCCACTGTGAGAACCGACAAGTCCTTCGATTCTTCGATGGCGCACACGATACTTTCGAAATCTTTTGTAAGAGATCTCAAAAATTTTCCCACAACCTGGCTAGATGGAATTTGTTCTCCATTCCTATTGAGCTGGTTGACCACCTTCACCACTCGAGTTATGTACTCGGTTATATGCTCTTTGGGCTCCATCTTCAACTGTTCAAACTCTCCTCTGAGAGCTTGTATTCGGACTTGTCTAACGCGCTTGTCACCTTTATACGCAACCTCCAATATCTCCCAGGCTTCTTTTGCTGATTTGGCATTCGCTATCTTTTCGAATCCCGACTCATCTACTGCATTGTAGATAAAATACAATGTTGACCCATCTCTTGCACGAGTTTTCTTCAATGTTGTCATATGTGCCACCGTTTGATGTTCATCCTCATCAGGTTCAACATACTCGTCTTCCACCATACCCTAAACGTCTTGAGATCTCAATAACGCCTTCATCTGTAGGCACCAATTATCACAATTGGTTTTTCTCGTCAATTGTGGCACACTCATACAATTGACAACCTTTGACATCTCTCTCCAAAAAGAAATCAAGCACTCACTTTTTCTCTCACGGTGTTTGACTCTTCCCTCTCTCCTTTTTTTCTTTCTCTCTCGGTACTCAACATAAAGCTCTGATACCACTGTTGGGAAAAACGTGACTCACAAATAATAATAATACTCTTCAATTCACTGGAGTTACTTTTCATTGAACCTTGGCAACCTTTAAATAGGTGCAAATAGGGCCTTGGGCCAAATACAAATAATAAAAACTAACAATAGAATATCAACTAACTTAAAATAAAATCTATTTAATATATCTCTATCTTATATCAATAAAATAAAATAATATTCTCCTAAATAAAAGGAAAATCAAAACTACCTATATCTATTTTATCTCTATCAAAATCAAATC